TAATTTTACTGGACATTAAAAAACAAGAAGCACAAATTGATAGCATTTTCAAAGTACGAACAGATCTAGCATTTCTAGTTGAATTTCCAAGTTCCAACATTGCACTAAAACATTAAACAAATAAACAATTTAAAAGGGCACGCTAATCTAAAGGTTTGGCAACATTAGAGTAAACAATTTTGCAAGAGTTGGGTAAAATAAATGCCACGCATTATGCAAAAACAATTTACAATTACATCGTTAAGGTTCACAAAAATCAATCTCGACGCTATTTAACAAGAAAATATAAGCATGTTCACTCTAGAAACCCCACATAAAAATCAACTAAATTCGGGGAAATGTGCAAGGTTCTCAAAAATAAATCTTGACAGTAATTAACAGCACTTCACAGATTCATATATCAAAAACATTTGGGAAAAGAGTACCAGGATGCGGAGATAATCCTTAAAAGCACCTGAGAAATGAAAAAAATAAATTGTATCAAATAAACAAGAAGCTCCTATTTCATTGCAGATCGAGATTTATTTCAGTTTACCTCATTTGGAAGTAAAGCAATTAAGCAGTGATGCTTGAAATAGACGAGCAAGATGAAACTGGTGGGACTTCTGTTTTTCTCCTATTTCTTTTTTATAGGTTTTTTGGATTTTTGTGTATTTAAAAAAGTTCATTGTGAGCCGGGTCCCACTTCATATGCCTGCTTTGGAGTCACGTTCCCGCCTTGTACTCTACTTTTCGTTTTGGCTTTTCTTATGTGGGCTGAAAATCAAAAATCAAAATTTTAATTCCAGTTAAAATCGACAATTAATTTTAATCACACATTTTATAAGATTCATAATTTTTTAATCATGTATTTCATCAACTTCTATCAAAATAGAATAAAAATCTGATTTTAATTATCACCAAACTGGGGCATATATGTGTGCGTGCTCGATTAATTAAGGTAATGCTTAATTTTGATTTTTCAAAATTACTTTTCATCAAACTCTTGGCCTCCTTTTTCAAAAAAATCATTTTTTTCAAAATTCATTTCCTACTATACGCTTGTTTGGTAGGGATTTTTGAAGAAAGAATTGATTTTTGAAATAGTAATATGATGGGAAATGTGNTTTTTGAATAGTGATATGATGGGAAATGTATGGTTAAAAAAGAGAAAAATTTATTGATGTGATAGAAAATATTATTTTATTGAAGAATGTGTGGTTGAAAATGAGAATTGATTTACTGTAGAATTTGAGAATAAAAAATAAACAGACCCTATATATTCTCTCATAAAATAATTTTACAAGTAAATCGAAAAAAATATTTTTTGACCACACATTCCTATAAAAAATCACTATTCAAAAATATATTTTCCTCTTGAAATGGGACTCAAACTGGGGCATATAAATTATACGTTTTCTTAGTAAAATAATTGTATAGGTAATTCCATGATTTCTTCTTACTTTTTAACTAGTTATTTTTTAAATTAAAGGCACATTAATGTGTCATTTATTGTATCTTAAATTCTTTTTAAAATAGCCTTGTCCATTTGCTCAAGCTAAATCAGTCATCTTTGAGCCCCATTCTTTCAAAATATATATTTTCCTAAAATCGTTTTCAACTAAAAATTCTCCCAATAAAATAATTTCATACTTAAATCCTAAATTTTCCGACACGTTCTCAAAAAATCACTATAATAAAATCTATTTTTCAAAAAATGGTGCTCAAACGAATGCTCAATAAATAGCAGTTCTGTTGGTCTTTCCAAAAATAAATTCCTTCATTTAACACAAGGTCAAAAATATAAGTTGTTAAAAATTAACTTGTTTATTTGATAAATGTAATTTTTTTAAGAAAAATGTTATTCATCTCCAGTGGGGATGTATCTCCGGTCTATGTGAATGTAAATGATTGGTTAAATGATAGGTGGCCTATAATTTAATGCCATATTAACGTCACATAGATTGTGAATGCATCCGGGATGAATAGCATTTCTCTTTTTTTAAGTTTTCAACCTAACTACAACAAAACTTGTGAAATTGACTCCACTTTTACTACTTGTGTTGACCTAAATGTTTTTTTAATTATATGTAAAAGTGATTTCGAAGAACTGTGCTCTCCTTGATTCAAGAGCATGTTTGGAAATTTTTTATAAATAATTAAAATTATAAATAAATAGTTTAATGACGAATAAGTGAATAGTATTTTGAATCTTGTTACGTGCTAAAATAATTAGTGATCATCACGACTTCACGTCAACAACAAAGAACCCGTTGTATGTCAACGTGTCTTTGAATATTCGCAGATCAATTGTCTATTATGCATAGTTGAAGTGAAAGATGCACTGACCATTGAAACTCCATTTAGCAACGCGTGACAAAAAGCACGGGATTAAAAACAATTAAAAGCCTCGACCACCAAAAAGTCTAAAGGTCTTGGACTAAGCCTCAAATATGAACGAGAATATTAGTGAGAATTCTGACATACTCAACCTATACTTCAGCATAATAAACTTACGTGTGCACACAACGAATTGTTCGATGAGTATCA